GAAAAAAACAGGGCTTCAATTAGCTACATTAGCGATCTACGTCTGGGATATGAAAACACTGTATGGTAATTATTTCTTTTATCTCTTTTATTGTGCTGATGAGTGCAGTGGGGGAGAGTGCTCTATCTAATCTGATCACTGAGCATTGTGTTTGGGGTCATTAACCTATGGGAGGTCCTAAGGCTGACGAGTAAGCTCCTACTCCCCCTCTACCTTTTTCACAGAACTCGCTCATCCCTGTGTTCCTCTTTCTTTTTTAGACAACACAACTGCAAACATAAGAACAACTAAAGAAAACACAAGACAAAGGGGGAGAAAAAAACAGCTGACTGTGCTATTTGCATGGCTTGTCATTCTCTCACAAAAACAGCCTAAATGACTGCTGACCAAGGTCCCTTGGCTTGCCAAAGCAGCAGGACGTCGGCCCCTTCAGTGTGTTGTTGTTGTCGTTTTTTTCCCTCTTTTTCATGGTTGCATCCCGTCCCCAGAGATGAAGGGGTCAACTTGTCCCTCAACATCTGGGATCCGCATTAGAAGAAGCTAAGGTTTTACCAAACATAGATGAGCTATCATAATTAAATAGGGCTCAGTGTTCTCTAAATGCAAAAATTTGCTTATCACCAATGTTAAGCATAGGCTATTGTGTCATTGACGTATTGCCCACCTACAGTTTTACAAATTGGACAATTTTCAACTAATATATCACTGATTCATTTGAGTGAATCCTTACTGCTGTGATGCTGATGAGATTGGAGGCCAGGCAGTAATTGCCCGGGTAAATGAATACGCAAATAATGTGAATGGAAAATGGGGGGAAATGAAGAGGGGTTAGTTAGCATCACCATTTTACCTTAATTTGGCATTGGATAAAATACAGACATGTCTACATCTAGAAATAACGCTAACACATTCTCCTCAGTCTTCAGAGTGCCACAAACACGCACAATCAAGAGAGTAAATATCTACATAGTATCCTGTGTGCATATGCAGCAGACTATCCAGAAAGTAGGGCATGCCTTCCTATTGACCACAGCTTGGGAAAACCAAGGGATATCTGCCATAACCTAGACAATATACAACAAAGGCTGTTTGGTAGCCACCTAATTCAGCGAGCATTTAGCTCCGCAGATCGAGGCCGTTAACATGTCCCTTATTTTAAACAGTCACAAGCTGTCTGCTACCAAACTTGGAGAAATCGGATAGGCGGAATAAAACTGCAGCCTTGGTAAAAAAGGGCACCTATCCCCTTGAACAAAAGATAAACAGGGCAATAGATTTTCCCGAGTCTGAAGATAACTGAAATCCAACACCCGCGTCCTCCGATGGGGCTCTTTGTATGTCTGAGTGCAGGTCAATCAACAGTTGCTGACAGATGTGTCTGCAGTCGATTTTAGAGAGGAAGATGAGCTGGGGTCAGTCACAGGTTTCCCCTACCACGTCCCCTTAGAGAAAAGACAAGGATCATGTCAGGATGTCACAGATTGACCTTTTCTCACCTATATTTTTTTGTTTTGTTTTGTTTTTTGGGGGGGGGGGGCATGAAGCACCTGGTCCAAAAGGATAACATAATTAAGACGATTAGGCAAATGAAACTGAGACACGGCAGTTCCACAGTATAATAGACAATTCAATACAGGATATTATGATTCTAATTGAATTGAGTTCACCAACATGGTGTAATCGCTACGATTTAAGGCAAAGCATTTTTTGGTAACCCAGCTCGAGGAGTAAAGCTACATGTCGTTTTGAATTATGATGAGATTGTATTACACAAGAAAATGGCAAGGAGCTGTCGCGTTAGCAACAGCAACCGCCATTCTCAGGGTCATTCATCCACAACGCATCAACCAAGCAATACATTTTCATTGTACTCCAGTGTGGAAAAAAGCACAAGCCATGTTATCAGATGATACAAATATGTGACTCGTGACATTAATAAGAGCAATACGGTGATTGAATGTTTAAGCATTTTCACAGAGATGAGTTCTCAATAACCCAATCAATGGAAGCTCTGATCTAAAAAAAAACGTTGGTTCAAAAATAACCCAATTGGGTTGTTTTAGACAAAACAACCCAGAAAGTGTGGTTGAATTGGCTCAAGTAGTGGACTGGTCTCTTTTTGACACAAATTGGTTTATTTTGACCCAAATGTTTTCAGAGTGGTCTGTTCCAACTTTCACGACAGGCTTGGTAGAATAGGACATGTGATGTTGGTTTACAGCCGTGTTTCCCAACTGTCAGTCACACAACTTGCAAATTTTAGCTCCCGCAACAAAATCAAAAAGACATTTAAAAACCCGTGATAAGACTTTGCAATGTCAACAATCAACTTGTTAGTACAACTAAAAAGGCAGATTTGTCCCTCTACACCAGCAAAAAGTTGAATTTGTCGATCCTAGCAGAATCTTTTGTATCGGCGTTTGCCGGCAAACCAGTCCATGAAATGCTCAAACATGATCCTGAATGGATGTTTTCTCTAAATCTGCACCCTGAACAGGGAGCACAGCCAAGTGGATGAAAAACTTGAGTGTCTGACTATTTCTAAAAAGACAAAGTACAAAGCAGCATTAAAAAAATATGTTAATAGAAGTTAGTGGATTGGATACATCGGATAGGATGTTAGGATATGGGAAGGTCTTACATCCCCTCTGGGTTGATATGGGCCAATTCTCCAAATATTGCACCTTAGCCTTGACTTCAACTTGTCATATTATTGTTTTTCATGGAGGCAACCAGCGAGTGCACCTATAATAGATGGGGGGGGGGGGCATGAAGCACCTGGTCCAAAAGGATAACATAATTAAGACGATTAGGCAAATGAAACTGAGACACGGCAGTTCCACAGTATAATAGACAATTCAATACAGGATATTATGATTCTAATTGAATTGAGTTCACCAACATGGTGTAATCGCTACGATTTAAGGCAAAGCATTTTTTGGTAACCCAGCTCGAGGAGTAAAGCTACATGTCGTTTTGAATTATGATGAGATTGTATTACACAAGAAAATGGCAAGGAGCTGTCGCGTTAGCAACAGCAACCACCATTCTCAGGGTCATTCATCCACAACGCATCAACCAAGCAATACATTTTCATTGTACTCCAGTGTGGAAAAAAGCACAAGCCATGTTATCAGATGATACAAATATGTGACTCGTGACATTAATAAGAGCAATACGGTGATTGAATGTTTAAGCATTTTCACAGAGATGAGTTCTCAATAACCCAATCAATGGAAGCTCTGATCTAAAAAAAAACGTTGGTTCAAAAATAACCCAATTGGGTTGTTTTAGACAAAACAACCCAGAAAGTGTGGTTGAATTGGCTCAAGTAGTGGACTGGTCTCTTTTTGACACAAATTGGTTTATTTTGACCCAAATGTTTTCAGAGTGGTCTGTTCCAACTTTCACGACAGGCTTGGTAGAATAGGACATGTGATGTTGGTTTACAGCCGTGTTTCCCAACTGTCAGTCACACAACTTGCAAATTTTAGCTCCCGCAACAAAATCAAAAAGACATTTAAAAACCCGTGATAAGACTTTGCAATGTCAACAATCAACTTGTTAGTACAACTAAAAAGGCAGATTTGTCCCTCTACACCAGCAAAAAGTTGAATTTGTCGATCCTAGCAGAATCTTTTGTATCGGCGTTTGCCGGCAAACCAGTCCATGAAATGCTCAAACATGATCCTGAATGGATGTTTTCTCTAAATCTGCACCCTGAACAGGGAGCACAGCCAAGTGGATGAAAAACTTGAGTGTCTGACTATTTCTAAAAAGACAAAGTACAAAGCAGCATTAAAAAAATATGTTAATAGAAGTTAGTGGATTGGATACATCGGATAGGATGTTAGGATATGGGAAGGTCTTACATCCCCTCTGGGTTGATATGGGCCAATTCTCCAAATATTGCACCTTAGCCTTGACTTCAACTTGTCATATTATTGTTTTTCATGGAGGCAACCAGCGAGTGCACCTATAATAGATTGCATTTTGATCATGTGCTCTTACAAACCTCACAGTAAACATGCTTTGCGTACAAGTGTGTTGAGAACAAAAGTCCATGTGTAACCCATTTAAAAAAAAAAAAAGGCTGGAGTTGGCAGATACTGCTGGCCAATGTGGTTTAACCACGAGCTGATGAATGGTGTAATCACAAAGTAGTTTTGGGACTGGTGAATGACATTTAAGCAAGTGGTTTTTCAATTACGCCTACGGTGGCAAGCGTCACCCATATCTAATTGCCGATCTGCAGTCAACAGTTGAACAAGAGCAGCCCTATTGCGGGCTATGATTTTGGCGCGGTCGGAAGCCTGAGGGGGGAGACACTGGAGATGACGCAGAGAGAGTGTCGGCAACCCTATTACTAAAAGGGTGACTCAATGTTGCTTCGAGCCTCGGAGGGCACGTTTGGCTTCACTTAAACATGCAACCAACAGGGTCAAGCATTCAGTCTAAAAGGCAGTAGGGTTCAGGTATACCATAGACATAAACTAATTTCTATGGTATAAACAATGAATGCCTTGCATATGAGAACACCACCTTTGACATTTGTGGATACAATTTATGAGTCAAAGCCATCTGTGATGTTTCTACTCGATTTGATAAGACCAGTTTAGGTTCATCAAAATGATTTTTTTTCATCCTTCCCCTCTTTTTCATCTTAAGAGCATGATTCCTTAACCAGCCCCTACCAGCCTCTTCCACATCTGCCAAGTTTGTTTCCCTTTTCCTCCACTCCCCCTAGTGTAGTCACCGAGTACTGCAGACCTCTTTAGATTTTCCAGAGGCGCGTGGGGGGGAGGGAGAGAGAGAGAGAGAGAGAGAGAGAGAGAGACAGAGAGAGAGAGAGAGAGAGAGAGAGAGAGAGAGAGAGAGAGAGAGAGAGAGAGAGAAAGAGAGACAGAGAGAGAGAGACTCACAAGCAAACAGCAAGCGAGAGAATGACTCCGCCTCCACATGACGTCAGCGCTCTATTGGAGCAAGGCTACAGGCAAACATAAGTCCACATTTGTTATTGGGACCAATCCGTGCGCGCATGTCCTTGTGCAACTTGCAGAGTGTGTATGTGTGAGGGGGCATCAGTCAACACCGTTGTGCTGCTACAGATACATCCAATCCAGTTCTGACTCCGTGAGTGAGAGAAACAGTTTTGGGATCTGTATTGAATCGGCACAACTCGGACAGGATTACTTTTTTTCCCCCCTCTGTCTTGAATCCCCTCATAGGATACCTGTAACTTTTTTGGGTTGTCTTTTGAGGTAAGTGTTTCTGACTGGTTTGTCCAGAGGGGGTGCATCTTTATGTTTCCTTTTTTTTTCTTCCTTTTTTTTTTTTAACGGGTGGTCTTTTTGACTCAACGAGTTTCAAGTGGAGTCATACACCGCATCTTACAATACAATAGAATACATCTTTATATGGCACTTTCACAACAGCTGCATCTGTTACAAAGCGATTCACACAGTTAACATAATATAAAAATAATATACCGGAACACAGCATAAAACATATATAGATAGTCATGCAATCGTAACACTTATTCCTGCATAAGCCAAAAGTCTCTTTTCATCAGTGGATCAGAGACGTCATGATCAAAACGTCTGCTACAAGCTCAGTTAGAAAACAATCTGCAGTCTATATTTATTGAATTTATTTGAAACGATCCCTACCCTCATGGAAAACATGAGGTACGTGTTCGGTTGTTGTAAAGCAGGCTGCAGGCTTTGGAACTGGAAGCGACGTTGTCAAAAATACTGAGCGCTCTTCTCCGCCACCAACCAAACCGAGCTCGTCTATTAACGCACTGAAAGCGATATCAACTTCGGGAAAAATTATATATATATGTATATATATATATATATATATACATATATATACACACTGCGTATATATACACTGCGTATATACACACTGCGTGGAGGTAGTGACCAAAGCCGTCTCTCACGGCAGCCAATGCCATTATTGTGGTGCAAACGTGGTGGAGACGCGTTATCTTTGCGCCGGCCGTTTGAGCTTTTGATCAGTGAATACACAAGCTTGATTGGATTAGGAGGGGAGGGACAGCGTGGTTTGAGCCCAGCCGGCGCCACGGTTCGTCAAGACATGGGCATGTTGAATTGCAGCGCACATCCCGCAGCGATGCGCACGCAGAGCCAGCTGGACAAACTCCGCTAAATGCGTCTCTGTCGGGACGGCTCCGTGCAGTTTCCACTCACGTCCCGACACCCCACTTAACCTGGACCAATATGTTTGGAGATCGCAATAAACTGGCTTAAACGCACAAATCATTCCACGCCCTTCAGCCACATTCTGTACTTGTGTTTGTTATATTTGCTCAACCGCATTTATGTACATTGGCTGCTTTGAAGAAAAAAATAAATACATCGCCCAAAGATAATTGCAATAAAATATTGCTCTCAGCTGACAGCACATTTCCTCCTAATGTCGGTTTAGTGCAATTTCGTCTCCATTCCACTCTTGTACGCACGTCTTACTGGAAACACCATTGCAGAGACAGTTGTTAATCCAATTTCACTCAGCCTTTATCTTCATGAGACAATAAGGTCGTCCGGGCTTAAACGAATAACAGATATACTACTGTATGAGACTACAGTCCTAATTTCACCAACCAGAAAATTGCTGTGGAATGACTGTGAAATGTGCACAAGTTCAATTTTAGTTATTATCCAGCTAAGACACGGTTCAGTGTACAGTATTTGATAAAAATAAATTTGGTTCAATATAGACAGGAGGGCACATGAGTTGTCTTCACTGATGACTGCCTTAGGCTATAGTACCCAGCCAATTGCTTCCATTTTAGATTAAACACTAACCAGGTCATGAGCAAAATCGCAGTCTGCATAACATATTGCAGGAATGACATCCCTTAACCCCTACTTTTAGAAATTGCTCAGATTCGGCACTTGAATATCATTCCTTATTGTTCTAATCTACTTTGCCACCAAAGTATCTTTACCATCTATGGTGAGACCAGTGACAAACATAGCTGAGTATTCAAATACTGCAATAAAACAGCTAGATAACCTTTGGAAGCAATTTGACTGAGGAAAGTAGTGGGGCCAGGAGAGCAGTTGACAAATCCCTATATTTTAAGTGGGCGCTTGGCCTGTAGGCTAAGATATGCTCCTCTTTGCAGCTTAGCTTGTCACACGCAGGCAGACACACATATACTTGCATATTTTTCACACACATCTTGTGGTGCCTACCACCCCCACGTGGGGAAAAAATCATTGCAGCTGCTACAGCTCTCTCCTTTCAGCTTGGAACAAAAGAGAAAAAAAACCCTGATGTTCCCGGGCCTCTCCAGGTTTAGTGGGCCACCAAAAGTATCATCTGTTCAGCCCATCCCTACAGGAAGACGTAGCTTTTTGGTATTCTTGTTGTCACAATTAGTGTTCTCGACTAAATCATAGAACCTCATTTAAATCCCACCTCTGGTTTTCAGAAATGAAGGCCTCAAGATTGCAAAATTATTTACCACTCTAAGTCAATGTAAACATAAGGAAGCTATATTGAATAGTAACTATAGTATTTACCAAATCCATAAATCTTGACATTGCAGATATTATAAAACTATACTTTGTCGTATCCAATCCGTCACACAACTATTTTATTGGTTCAAAATTAATAATCAACAAAGATTCCAACAACACTTATTTCCCAAATGGATAGGTTCCGTGGAGCTAAATTAATTTCAGGTCTCATGAATAATTTAGATGGTCTTTACAACTTCTATAGTCCTTTCTCCCCTAAACGCAGGATTTTTTTTTCCTCTGCCCAGAAATGCATTTGTCACTGTTAAAACTGGCTATCAATATCCAGTTTTGTGTTATCTATGTTACATCCCATGCTTTCTCTTGAAAAGTACCTCACACATGTTTAGCTGAATGCTCAATTTAACTTTGCCAGTTCAGACTTAATGAGGCCTGCTTGTCGACAAAACCTCCTGTGTGGCCAGTGGTCCACATTAAAATGATGCGTAAAGACGTTCGTCGCAGTAGATCTTTTGTATTGCATAGCCCTCAAAACAATTTAGTATATATTAATACAACCTGCAGGGAAAAGCAAGTGATAATGCCATTTTAATACATTGTTTTTCTAATTGCTTGGATGCCGTCATTTTGTACCAAAAGCTCCTCTGCTGAAGTCCAGCATACTTGCCTTGCAGTATATCATGGAGAGGGGCTCTTTGCCGAAACCCAAAGAGTGCAGAAAAAATCAAATGGGTAAAAAGAGCAACGCTGCAGCCAAGACAGATTATGCTCTTAGTTTAAAAATAAAGGAATAAATAAATATATAAAAAAGCCTTTCTGATTAAACATAAAATGGCACAGCAGTTTAGTATCACTCCGAATTTATGTAGATAATTTCAAATCATCATAAAAGCATATTTGAATAAATGTAGCCTGGTCTTGCTGAGCTCTCTTATTATGGACTGAAATGTATACTTTTCAATGAGGTGAAAACCACCATTAAGAACTGAAATGTCTTCACAAAGTGTTGCATTAAAAGTCAAACCTCTCAGATCGCTCCGATTCAGCTTTCTAAACAAACCTCTGTTCCAAAGGTTTAATGGTTCCTCCACCTCGATGCAAAAGTTCGAAGAAAACACATCCAGTAATGTTCCTCAGCTTATATTTCACAACTTATGGCACTGTTTAAAATGACCTATGTTGAAAGCAAAATTCATACCTATTAGACAGCATTTTATCAATCACATTTGTGGTTTACAAGGCTCCCGAAACCCCAACCATCCCTTGGTGTGGCCAACCAACAGCAAAATGGCTGGGGCCCTGCTTCCTGAGTTACCTTTTACAGCACAAGGCAGCTGCCAGCAGGTCACATATAATGACAAAGCAATTATGTTGAAATGGAAAAACAAAATTTTCTTAGGCGGAGGGAATTCTATTTTTTCAAACAAGAGTATACAAAGCTTTAAAAGAGGGGGTGAGGTGGGGGCAAGGGGTCACAGACAAGTAGGGGATGACAGGGATAGATGCAACAGCCTTTCTCCTCCACATATGAAATTCAAATAGGCTTGCTAACAACGTGAGCACTGACTGGATCGTCCTTTGATCCAAATCAGAAAACCTAGTTCAACAGCTTCTTTTTTTATGTATTTATTTTTAATGAAGTATGGTTAAAAAAAAAAAAAGTTGTGAAATTCAAAATAATTAAATGGCCTGTACTAAGATGCGCATACAGGGCACATTTTTGCATGTTGCTGTTGTGATCACCTAACAATGTCTGTGCTCTCTTGGCTTAAAGCCAGTAAGAAGTCAAGGGTCACGATCAAAGCCAAAAAGGGCATTTGAATAATAAATGTTAAGTACAAATCACTCACATTTTCGAATCACATAGATTTGTAAACAAAAGATAGTTGTATTTATCAATGTAGAAAACCGGTTTGTTTCCCCCCCAAACAAATTTTAAAACTGTAGTCGTGTTTCTCCATTTCAAGAGATTACAGGTTACTAAGTATGTTTGTCTCTCCTCATTTTCTTTTTCAGGACATTTGAGGTGTGAAAAGTGGCCAGCATGAATCAAACTCCAGATTCATGAGGGAGGCTTGGCCCAAAACTAGAAGCCCCTTTCAACGGTTTACCTATTTCGGAGAGAGAAGACTGTTCATCCACATCCGAAAGTGGAGCCCAGGATTAATGCATATACAAGCTTGACAAGGGACAAGAGGATTCTGGTTACCTGTACAGGCTGGAGTAAACAAGTGAACAGGGCTTGATTGAGCCTATGGCACAGGGGATTGGCATGGCTCAGACCAGCTTTGTGTCAACTCATCATGCATGCTGGGCCTGATTGTAGAAAGGAGCCTATACTAAAGCCGGCAGGATTGCTGTAACTGTGGGTGTGGGAGAAAAAAAAAAAATCTAGTCTACGGTTATGGCTACTGATCTTGACAAATTCAACACCCATTAGGATTTTTAATATTACCTGAGAGAACGCAGGCTTTGTCACTGAGGGGGGATGCCTATTCAACAGGCTTATCTGCCATGGTAAAGGCAGTGAAGGCATGAGCCTCTGACAACAGAGGAGGTCATCGTCCAAACAAGGCTCAGCTCTGCAAATACTGACCAGTCAGGATATCACCAGAAAGCCCTCAGAAAAAAACGTGTCTTTTCAGAAAGGATATTCAAAGAAGAAAACCTTGATTGGATTTTTCAGTGATCAGAAAGGATTTACCACCTCTCATACATCAGGTATAGAAACATTTGTATGCCTTTGCATCTTTCCACTTCACTGACTCAACAAGAATGTAAAACCTCATCGGGGTGAAAGTTGTGAGAGAGAGTGAGATAGTGAGAGTAAGAAAGCGAGAGAGAAATAGAGAGAAAGGGCAGGTTTTATTAAAAAGTCTAGCTATAAGGAATTAAAAAAAAAATCTACATTAAGGGCAACACGATGCTTCACGTCACAGTACAATTCAACACCCCTGTTGTACATAAAAATACATATCAAAAATGTCAATTAGAATTACGTGTAGAAAGAAAACCTAATCTGGTGTGTACTGTCTAATAGGACTAAATACTTAAAACAGCATGTCAGTACTTTGACAGTCACTCAAAGTATGACTTTTTTCTCTTTGGTATGTAACAATGAAAGGTAGCCTTGATAAGCAGAAGTCTGTGGCACAATCGATGCTACTAAACTTAACACGGCTTGGTTGCAGACGGTTAAAGCAGATCTATGGCACACAAGAGTCAATGTATTGAGAGCTTACCACTCAGTTATTTATAGTATTATTTTTGAATGACGTGCAGCTATGCAGTCATAAATGAAGCTCAATACAAAATTATATGTACTACCACATCATTTAATATGGAAGAATAATGAACCGTGATCCAGTACTTAATCTATATGGTGCTTTCGGCCCCATTTAAACACCAAGCAAATCTAAGTACATGAATTTGGACTTATCCTAAAGGCCTTGTGTATTAAATATACTCTTGTGTCTTCTTCCTAGGGGGCTCTTGAGTGATTAGACTTCCTGGCAACTCAGCGTCAAGATGGTACGTCAGTGCAAGGCCTTTACACTCTCCCTCATCAGGGTGGGACTGCTGCTGGGCCTTGCTAACCCACTGGTGACATCTGCCTCATGTCCCTCTGCCTGCCGCTGTGATGGGACCTTCATCTACTGTAATGACCGTGGCCTAACTTCCATCCCTACTGGTTTACCCCTGGATGCAACAGTGCTGTACCTACAAAACAATCGCATAAAGAGCTCAGGAATCCCCGCAGAGCTCAGCAGGCTCACAAATGTGGAAAAGATCTACCTTTACTGCAACAATCTAGATGAGTTCCCCACTAACCTTCCTCTCGGGCTGAAAGAGCTCCATCTCCAGGAGAACAACATTCGCATGATTACGCACGCAACTTTAGCACAGATTCCTTATATTGAGGAACTTCACCTGGACGACAACTCTGTGTCAGCAGTCAGCATTGAAGAGGGGGCCTTTAGGGACAGCAATCACCTAAGATTGCTTTTCCTCTCTAGGAACCACCTAAGTACCATCCCCTCAGGCCTACCCATGAGCATTGAGGAGTTGCGCTTTGAAGACAACCGAATCTCATCCATTTCTGAACAGTCGCTGCAAGATCTCATCAACCTGAAGCGACTAATATTGGATGGAAATCTGCTCAATAACCGTGGAATTGGAGAGATGGCTTTCATCAATCTGATTAATCTGACAGAGCTCTCGCTGGTGAGGAACTCCCTGACATCACCACCAGCTAACCTGCCAGGCACAAGTTTGGAGAAGCTGCAGCTACAAGATAATCACATTAATAGGGTGCCGCCGGGGGCTTTCGCTTTTCTGAGGCAACTTTACCGCTTGGACCTATCTGGAAACAACCTGAGCAGCCTCCCACAAGGTGTATTTGAAGATCTGGACAATCTCACACAGCTTTTGCTACGCAACAACCCCTGGCAATGCACTTGCAGAATGAAATGGGTGCGCGACTGGCTCCGGTCATTACCGACAAAAGTAAATGTGCGAGGATTCATGTGCCAGGGGCCTGATAAGGTAAAAGGCATGGCAATAAAGGACTTAACTACAGACATGTTTGACTGCACAGATTTAGAATTTATTCCCACGTACGAGACAAGCACAGTCTCCAACACTTTGCGCCCCTCACAGCCACACTGGCCCTCGTTTGTGACTAAAAGGCCTGGAGTAAAGGGACCAAATTTGGGCAGAAATTACCATGGCCCCACCATGTCATCAGGCAGAAAGATCATCACAATCAGCGTGAAGTCAAGTAGCGCAGATACAGTTCACATATCCTGGAGGGTATCGCAGCCCATGACCGCCCTTCGACTCAGCTGGCTGAAGCTTGGACACAGCCCTGCATTTGGCTCCATCACTGAAACAATTGTACAGGGGGAGAGGACAGAGTACCTGCTCACTGCGCTGGAGCCAGAGTCTTCCTACAGGATATGTATGGTTCCCATGGAGACCAGCAATATCTACCTAGCAGACGAGACGCCCGTGTGCATAGAGACGGAGACCGGCTCTCATAAATCGTATAACCCAACCACGACTTTAAACCGAGAGCAGGAGAAAGAGCCTTACAAAAATTCAAGTCTGCCTTTGGCTGCTATCATCGGAGGGGCTGTTGCACTTTTGGCAATAATCATGTTGGCGTTGGTGTGCTGGTACGTGCACAGGAACGGCTCACTTTTTTCAAGGAACTGCACCTACAATAAAGGCCGTCGGAGAAAGGATGACTATGCCGAAGCTGGCACTAAGAAGGACAATTCAATTCTAGAAATAAGAGAGACTTCGTTTCAAATGATACCAATAAATCAGCTTCCGGTGTCCAAGGAGGAGTTTGTGATACACACGATTTTTCCACCTAATGGCCTGAGTTTATACAAGAGCCCACACAACGAGAACAGTATCAACAACAGGAGCTACAGAGACAGTGGAATACCAGATTCGGACTACTCCCATTCATGATATTGCACACAGACATTCATGACAAGAATGTGTTGTAAACAGAGTGGCAAGACTTTGACAAAACACTGGATCTATCGGACTAAGGGAGCAATGTTATGTACATTTGCCATATAATTTATATTTAAGGACATTTTATGACAGCTGAGAACGTTCCACCTGCAGGCCCTCACTGAACCAGAGGGTGTAGTACTGCAATTATATTTTAGGGATTTGTAGTAATTTGTACTGTATTTCCTTGGCTTAAAAAAAAAAACAAAAAAAAAAAAGATCGACCAATTAAAAAAGAAACTCTGTGTTCTGAGATATGATGACTTGTCAACTGTGAAAGTGGGTTTTAATTGCTGTGTTGAACAATCAGACATTAGAAAACATTGTAGTACAAGCACAGGTCATTGTTTTCACTTTGTGGCTGTCTGAAAAACAAAGGCGGAAATTGTCAAACTAAGGTACAGTTGATCAATAAAATTAAATCAGACAAGGTGCCCTCTTACGAAAAAGAAACGGCGCCGAGCTGTCTCATTTACTACTGACAAAGAATACTGTTCTAGAGTTCATGAAACAAATCACTTCAGATTTTGTGCCATGCTTTATTTCACCAATTTCTTAGGTGTGTACTTTCTGCAAGTTTGAGACACAGCAGAGCGACCATAGCAGGACTCTTATTTTATTATGATTATTATTTTTTCTGAAGGGGATTGTAGGCCACAGCACAGGGCAGATAAAGCACACCAACTTTAAGAGGACTCTTGACTCCTCAAAACAAGAAGACTGGACAGGCTGACACAGGACCCCACACGATCTCTGTTTGTATGAGCCAACAATGGCCAAATGACAATGGCGGCATTCTTTAGTACCGTGTACCCTCCGTCATTCAAGTCAAAAGGCCAAAAATACACGATTGTTCAAAGGATCACAGTTTTAGCAGTTCCTTAAGATAACTACGATTTTGTATTTTCAAAGTGAACACATTTTTGTTGCCACAATTTGAAATTACCTGTTCTTCATGTTTAAAAAAAACCAAAGTGCATTGTATGCCCTTTGGCCAGTCTTGTATGTGCCTTGATCCAATGCTTATTTAGCTTTTTAAGGAACCAGTGACTTTTTTCATACACACTTGAATATGAAAAGTATTGGTCATATTACAGAATAAAAAAAAATATGAACAACAATGACATTGATTTCTTTATTACCCACACTCCACCTTGACAATTGCTTTGTTTAAATTCATGGGGGAAATATCTATAAATCAAGACATCATAAAAGTCGCGTTGTAACCTCAATTTTGGCAGATTTTGCCTGCATAATACCAACAGGACAAAAAGATATTTGCATGACAGATCCGCAGCTCAGTTCAGAAACACGAGTACTTAGACTAACGTTAAGAATAACAATTAAAAATGCTTTGCTTATCTTTCTAGCGTGTACAGTATTAAGAAAAAATATACAATACTTTCCATATCAAGCTATATTGAAAAGAATAGTTTTTGATTTGTGTTTGATTTCCAATGCTGTTACTTTTTGAGCATGCATATATGTATATTCAGTACCAAGTTTAAAAAAAATGTGAATTTGCTATTAATGCAGGTCACAGTCTAAGGCGGGAGTCATCGACCTCTTTGAAAGTGAGAGCTACTTCTTGGGCACCAATGCAAAGGGCTGCTAGTTTGATATGCACTTCTGAAATGAAAAATTTGCTAAAATCATTTGTGGGGAAATCATCTCATCATTGCATGTTTTGGTGTCATAATGCAGAAGCATACTGACCAAATTACATTAGTTTGAATGTTGAAGTAAGTGCCCAAACAATTTTGAGTCATTTTCGGAAAACGAAAAAAAAAACAACTAATTGAATAAACAAGAACAGATGTCTCGATTCAACTTTGTGCGTATGTTCATGACCGGGATGACTGACAAGTTACGCAAATATATATATATATTTTTAGCTGCACATTGCTTTTTGTTTTTTTTTTTTTTAATTGATATTGTGACTAAGGTTGTGATCGCGTCATTTCCAAATTTGCACCAATGCAAATGTAATTAAAAAAAAAAAACACAACACCACCAACTCAACTCCCTGGTAACCAATTTTCAGTAAAAGGCCTGCAGGCTGCTGGTGGTCAATGGAGGCTCCCTGGTGCCCGTGGGCACCATTTTGGCCACCTCTGGTCTAAAGTATTTAATTAACTAAGTTGTGAAAATATGTTTGTGTAACAACTTTCTTGATGTAAAATTGTGTATGCTTGGCCCCACCATTTTAATTTGAAAAAAAAGGGTTATATGAATGATGCCAATTGGTATTTTTTAATTTTGCGATGCCAAGCATCAAACGTTATTGTGTTGTTAAAAAAATAATATTTTCCTACAGAAAGTAAGTTGTAAAAAAAAAAAGGTTACATTCTAAAAATGTTAACAGAATTTTTTCTCAAAAATGAGAACTGTGACATGTCTCTCACACTTAATAGTCCATCTTCTAATTAAGAGCATTCTCAGACCATCTTAAGACCAACGATTCCATTAGCTTGAATAATAGTCTTCCATTTGTTATTAATGAGCCTTTTTGTTAGACTAAATAGTTCACATGGGCTTGACTGAAGTGTGCCAGTAAATGAGCAAACTAATTTGACAAATTCCTGCCGCTTTGTGATAAACAACAAATAAGCCAAACGGTGAAAGGAACAGTCCATTGTTGTGGCTTTCACTGAAAACAACCCGTTCAAAGGGGCAGCTCTTTGTGTAACTTGCATGAACGCATATGAAACAAAATTGATGAAGCAGACTGATGACGACCCCATGTGAACTCACTTATCATTGGTGACCCATGACCTGATCTGATCAGTCACTTTAAACAATTCCTTAATCACTCTCATGCTCTCATCTGCGGTCAGACAAGGCTGGAGACAAAACAAAATCTGACGTGCATTTTTCTCCTTGTGTGTGACGCAGTGCAGACAGCAGTTTGGCTTTTATGTACCTAATGATCAGAGCTAATGGTGCAGCTGCAGTGTTTGCTTCAGAGTGCTACTATTCACTTTAGAAGGTGCTGGTCAGGCAGACGGTCACATTTGCATTCCAATAGATGCTGGTATCAAAGCGTCACTGCATGACCCCTCCATGACCAACAGCCTTGGTTTGTTCTCCAATCGTACCAATAACATAGACTAAGTACAGGCTATACGAGCCTGTTAGCTTTATTAGGGCTAACAGAGTGAAATCAGTTCAAGGACCACAAGTAACAAATCAAACCTATCAGTCAGGAGCTAACAAAAAATACAAAGGGTTGCCATCATCCACATTATAAAGAATATTTATACTTATATAGAGCTTTTGAAATCATTAAGCTAAACAGATAACATCACAAGTGGCTTCATCAAACAACAATTCTATATACAGTATTACATGCAAAATAGAGTTGATGGTCGGTGATCCCGCTTGTTTTATGTAAATGCAAGATATTGCAGGGCTGTAAAAACATGCTTCAACACCGTTTTCCTTGGTACACTGTGGGACACCTAAACAGACAGCACTACACATTGGTCCCTTTGCGCTTTGGAACATACATACATGCATATATATTTATCTCAAGTTAGAATCACAATTTTGCTGCCAAGTGCTGGTCAACTGACATCTTTTAAAGATGGCGAGAGAATCTCCAAACAATCAAAGTGATCCTATGCCATCTGACTGGATATTAGTGTTTACAGAAAAAAACTGTGAGAAAATCTCAAATAGTACTGCTGTGACGAATAATTATTATTACCACCCGATGAAGAGTTTCTGAGAACAAAAACTCTAAACTTCTCTCATCCCATGAGTGCTAAAACAGCAAAAAAAAAAACAGAAAGAAGACTAAAACTGAAATGAGACTCGGGCAGTAATAATGTTACATCAGGCCCATGTCACGGTGCTACAAAACATGGTGAAGGCAGCCCAGAGAAAAGTAGTACCGGTATTTTAATTTTGCGTTTACCCACAAAAGAGCTGTTTTGTGTGTGTGTGTGTGTGTGTGTGTGTGTGTGTGTGTGTGTGTGTGTGTGTGTGTGAGATTGCAAGTATAAATGAACCCCCTTTTTTGCAAAGAATGCAGGTGGGGTTTTTTTTTTGGGGGGGGGGGTCCACGAGAAAGTGGAGCAACATGTTAAAATCTTTTGATTCAGTTCTGTGTTCATTTCATGTATGAAAGCCACTGGGTCTTTCATACATGAAAATTGTTTTTTTTTTTCTAACTTGAAAAAACTGCCTTGTGCTGCCTATTTAATCCATTAGTATTCGAAATAAAACTTGCTGCAATGCTTTGTGTGAATGCTCCTATTTTTTGAGGCCCCAAAAACAACAATATTAACTGATCATACCATGTTTTTCCCTCTCCTGCATAATTTACTACTGTCTAAAGGAAGTTCAAATCAAAAAGACTAACGAGAAGGTTGTGTTTATATCCAGGGCTGAAACTCGAGTAAAATATGGGTACCTCCAGTCAAAGAAAAAAAATGCTTGAGGCAATTTTTTTTCTGCCTCAAGTACCTGCTTATTTGTGGGTGCACTGCCAAGAAGAAAAAATGAAACCAACCACATTAACAATTGTTTATGCTATGCATGACAGCAACTTGTAGCCAAGCGGTAGGAAGGCCAACTTCCCAATTGTCCTTATCTTGCCAAATAATTTATGGACATCAATGCCTAGGTACACTTTTGTTTTCAAGTTGTTCCCGGCAGCGTGTTGCGGCATAACGTCTTACTTGACTCATCTTCCAGACTTTGGGGGCCTTTGACGTCACAAACTGTTGCTACAGACTTCCAACAATGAGGTCCTCAAATAATGTTCAACCACTTAACTAATGACACTAAAAAATTATAAGATTTTGCTGACACAGAACTGTATGGTGTCTGTTAAGCATTTAGCGGCAGCTCCAGCATTAGCTAGTACTAGCAAGCGGATTATTTTTTTCAAAGGCAGTAGACGCACACTTTGATGCAGTCTGACACATTTGCAGTTCTAACTGATCACTTAACAAACCGGGCTTGCTCAAGTGTGCTGTTTTAGCTGGCAATATCGCTACCGTGGTTCCGATGCCAATTCGTCTCACAGACCAAAATGTATGGGGAGACATGTCTAAAATCTCACTCATGTTTCGACAAAGTAAAGATAGTGCTGCAAAGTGCAGCTTAATAAAATGCTGAATATCTAAAAATGAAAAACAGTGGGTCGTTCATCAAGTGGAAATGTCTTTTTCAGCACTTCAGATTTTTTTTTCTTACTCAGATTACCCGATTATTCTAATTTTCAGTAGGATATCTCAATACGAAAATATTCAATATCGGCAGTGCGAGTTAGAGCTAAGACTAATAGATTTGACTCCGATGGCCATACGGTGTATATAGAAATATTTGCATCTGTGACTTATATTTTGTTTAAAAAAATAAATACTGCTTATTTGTCCCTGGTTGCATTTTGTTCACACAAATAATAAAGACAATCTCTCTTCTCACCGTCATACGCCCTCTCAAGATTGAGATTGGACTCTGTCACTCTTAGTCACCAGACCTAGCTGTAAAAGAACAGAGTGGCCATTGAGAGAGATGCCAGTGAGTGATGCGTTACTGTGTGGAGGACTTGTCCTCTCTTCTCTGGCTCTGACCATCTTGCCCCGCCCCTTCCTGAAAGCCAGAAGGCTCTCCATCACTTTACCCAGTGACCTGAAACCACAGGGCCAAAAAAACCTACGAACCTCCGTCATCATAATGAATCCAATTTTATGCTTGAGAAGACAAGGCCTGCACATACATCCATCGCAACTGTAAATTATTTGGCATTAATACTAATTAACAAAAGCTGTCACAATGAAGACTGTGCCACCGTAAAGGAAGAAAACTCCACACATTTACATCACTGTATGAAGAAGACGGATGCACAGTGGAGCTGCTACTCTCATTTAAAGCTAACGGTCAAAAACAAAAGCAAGGGGGGGTTGATTCATATTCTATTACACTACGAAGTATACACAATATTTTATGAAAATAGCCATATAATTTCGTCGACTCAATGGAAGCCATTAATTCCTGTTCCCCATTAAGTGCTTTAAATCAGGGGCCCCCAACCGCCGGTCCGCGGACCGGTACCGGTCCGCGGGGCATTTGGTACCGGGCCGCACAGAAAGAACTTGCCTTAATTCCG